CACCAATTAATTATGTAACCAGATGTTTTTGAACTTCTGACACTCCTGCCTCTACCTTTCCAGAGCTGGGAATACACGAGTGTGCCACCACACCCTGCCATGAAAAGTTATTGAATAGCATTGATCACCTACTGTAGTTATTACTATATAAAAAAGTCCTAGGCATAGTTGTACAAGCTCTTATCCCTGTCTTTTCACCTGGTCTCACAGCCTGTAATCTCGGCTTTTGAGAGCAGAGGCAGGAGGATCTCTGTGAGTTCAAGGCCAGCCTGGCCTAGGTACTAGGCTCCAGGTCAGCCAGGGTTGTATAGTAAAAGCTTGTCTCAAAATAATTTAAATATAATAAACAAGAAGTTCTTTCTGTGGTTGGCCTCTGTTGTATCTTAGTCATAACAACTTGGCATCATAGAAAAGAAATAGCCTGCTGCTGATTCAACCTTGGCTAGCCTAACAACAGCATATAGAACTTGCCAGTTTTGAGTCCTTTACATTATACCTATGTTCTCTCTCTCTCTCTCTCTCTCTCTCTCTCTCTCTCTCTCTCTCTCTGTGTGTGTGTGTGTAGTCTCCAGTGGTCCAGACTGACCTTGATCTCCCTGCTTAGCTGAAGATGTTCTTCCTTCAATTCATCATCTGCTTCTCTCCACCTTCCATGCCCTGGGATTACAGATTTGTGTCACCACAGCTGGTTTATAGTACTGGGGATGGAACCCAGGACTCCACGCTCACTAGGTAAGCACCATGCCAACACAGCTACAGCCCAGACCCTGTGTTTTCCCCCATCTATGTCTACTACATATTGAGCATTGGTTTTACCCTAATATGTACGATAAGATTTCTGATTCATCCTGTGCACTCAGGCACTGATCTGAGCTCTGTGTGAGTTCTGGCTTCAATCCCCATCCAAGTATCTCACCAGTTTTATGATTTCCTGGAGATGGAGTAGAAGACCCAGAGCAACTTACGGAGGCAGAGAAGGGAAAGGAGCCTAGGGATCATGGTGGCTCAGAGGCTGGTCCAAGGGTCTTCTTCGGGACTCTTAGCAGAAGAATTGGACCAGGGTATTGCAGTCCTTCCAACCTCAATGAGTAGGCAAGACTGGTTTTGAGGTTTTGAACTGGCTGCTCAGTTCCTTCTTCCCACATCCACTTTCAGGAAATGTGTAGATGGCCTCTGTTGCAACCCGTTCCTCTGAACTCCTTCAGAGACTTGACTCACTTGGTACTTTTCTGTCACAGTCAACTTTCAGACCTTACACAGGTAACTTTCAAAAGGCCTAACACTGGGCTTGCCAGGTTCATTCTGAGATGATGTAAACTGAGATTTATGATTTCTGATGTCAAGGCCGAGATTTATGCATAGATGGTGCCCCCTCATTGGTCCTTCCCGACCTGTGTTCTTCTAGTCCCCACTGAAGCCACTTGCAATGAAGACAGATTTACATTTACAACACTGCTCTGAAGGAGAGGCTTGATACTCACGTGACAGTGCCACGACCCTCCCCACCTCTCCTTCTAAGGGGGAAAGTCAACAGTCACCAAACCCAGCTGTGGCCATGTTTTACTGAACCCTGAAAACAGTGGCAGTTTAGCTCACAGGATAGTCCTGTACAAAACACATAATTGAAAATAAAAATCCTTCTTTAAAAGTAGATAAGCAACATTGACTTTTTTTTAATGTTCCATATTTTACTTTTTTTAATTAAGATTTTTTTTTCATTTTACATACCAATCACAGATCCCCCTCTTCCCTCCTCCTGACCCTCCAGCCTCCCGTCCCCCAACACACTCCCCATTCCCTCCTACAAGAAGGTAAAGCCTCCCATGGGGAGTCAGCAGAGCCTGGCATATTCAATAGAGGCAGGTCCAAGCCCCTGCCCCTGCACCAAGGCTGTGCAAGGTGTCCCACCATAGGCAGTGGGCTCCAAAAAGCCAGCTCACGCACCAGGGATGGATCCTGATCCTACTGCCGGGGGCTCCCTAAGCAGATCTGGCCGCACAACTGTCTGGCTTATATGGAGGGCCTAGTCCAGTCCCATGGAGGCTCCATAGGTGCTTAAATTTCATGAGTTCCCCCTGGTTGTCCATGTAGGTTTCCCCATCATGATCTTGATGCCCCTTGCTCATGAAAAAGACATTTTTAATAAGAAGGCAATTAGTCTTCATTACAGATTTCAGGAAAGGAAATCCAATGTGGCCTCTGGCCCACCCCTGTAAAATCATCTGATATCTTCCCTCAGACTCCAGCTCTTCTTCTACTTCTTCAGAACTGTGCAGACCCAAGGGTCATGAGGCTGGCTGGCTGGCTGGAAGGGTTCTACCTCATAGTTCTGGCTCCCCATTAGATACAAGTCACGCCATGAGCTTCTTCAGCTTGAGGCTTGGGGTTCTTCATCCTGAAAGTAAGCAAGCAACAATATCAAGTCCTGGGAGGAGTATTTGACTGGGAGGATTCTAGATGTTGGACAGTGCCAGACCTGGAGATCAAGATAGGACAGAGGTAACATCAAGGAGGAGGGGCAGAAGGTCTAAAGGCCTTGGATGGAAGGTGAGCTGCCAAGTGCTGCTTTCTCAGCTGTCACATGTTCACAGAGACTCACAGCAAGTGTGGCTTCCTGCACAAGATCAAACCACTTATAATGGCTGTCATGGACAGGGAGTGTCTCCTTGTGTGTCTCTATGACATCTATTAGCCTGGTGACTGTGGATATCAGAAGAGAATGTTAGCTCTCCTGGAACTGGAGTTATAGATGGTTCTGAACTAGCATGTGGGCAATGGGAACTGAACCTGGATCCTCTGAAAGAGCATCTCTGCTCAAAGAAATGATCCATCTCTCCAGTCCTTACATGTGATTTTCTGCCAGGCAAGACTGAGAGCCTTCCAGCTTAAAGCCCTCCTGTTTCCTTATGACTGAAAGCACAAAAAGGTAAATAAAATAACCACAAAGGGGCTAAGGAGATGGCAGAGCCTGGAAAGTGCTTGCTGTAGAAGCTTGAGGACCCGAGTTCGTATTTATTTATTTATTTTAATTGTATTCTTCTCTCATGGAACACACCCCAACCACTTCGTCCCCTCCCTCCAGCTCTCCCAGGTCTTCCCCCAAATCCATCTACTTCCAAACTACCCCACTCCCCATCTTCCTCCAGAAAATTGCACACCTCCCAGGGATGTCAACTTAGCATTACCCAAGAACAGTCAATAAGAGTAGACACAACTCCTCCCATCAAGGCATGGCAAGGCAACCCCATCGGAGAAAAAGTCTCCCAAGAGCAGAAGAAATAATCAGTGACATTCGACTCCCACTGTCAGGAGTCTCTCCAAAATACCAAGCCAATAGCCATAACACATATGCAGAGGACCTAGCACAGACCCATGCAGGCTACGTGATTGCAGCTTCAGTCTCTCTCAGCCCCTATGAGCCCTGCTTAGTTGATTCTGCAGGCCATGCTCTCCTGATGTCCTCTACCCCTCTGGCTCCCATAGTTCCTCCTCCCCACTTCTGTTGTGTTTCAGGAGTTCCAAGGAGAGGGACTCAATGGAAACTTCTACCTGGGCTTTCTTTCTGCCTAATGTTTGTATGTGGGAAGGACTTGAGTTCTTATCCCCAGTATCCATACAAGAAGTCAAATGTACCAATTTGTTTCCGTAATTCCCTACTGGGGAGCTGGAGATGGGAGGGTGTCTGGGGTTTCATATACAGCCAGTCTAGTCTATCAGGAGACCATGCCTCAAAAACAGGATGGAGAGAGAGAGAGAGAGAGAGAGAGAGAGAGAGAGAGAGAGGGTTTAGTGGTCAAGAGAACTTAATGGTATTCCAGAGGATCCAGGTGTAGTGTGTAGCCATTCCAACTTTAATCTGGAAGTTCCAACTCCCATTGAGGCTTCGGCACCTGTCATGCCTACAAGGTGGGGCCAAGGGAGGACCCTGGAGACCCGAGATCGGGATGGTCCAGCACTCTCTCTATTCCTGTACCCTGGACGGTAGAGGTTGACCGAGCAGAACTCCAGAGAACACCGCTGGTATGCGATACACCTTCCACAAATTCTGTGACCTACCTATTCCCTCATTTGTAAGTTACCCACTAAATAAATCTTTCTTTTAACTATGTGGAGTGGCCTTAATAATTTCACCAATACCCAGGTTCAATTCCCAGCACCCAGGAGCCCACA